TACACTGATCTCAGCATTCTTCAGTGACAAATGAGTTAGCAATAGTTAGGTATGAAATGCAAATCTTCTCCTCATGTATCTTAAATACCAAGCCAAAACTAAACTTATTATAGTTGGTTAGCACTATAATAAATAGCATTAAATACACTGTTGAAATCACGTGCCCACACTATCTCACTTCTTGACTTACTCCTGAACCAAGAAGTACAAGCAAGTATTGTTCACAAGATGTACTTGGTATCTTGCTGCATGTGTTATTTACATGATCAACCCGAATGAAACTACTCAACTGAGATTCTGAGACTACTGAGACTTGGCAGGTAAAACATACATCCTAGACTGGTAAATTATTGTACAAAGCCAGATGCTATCAAATTGGAAGTCTCAAATATGCCCAATAATGCTCTACTTGAACATTTGGTTAAAATTGGATTGAAATAATTGAAAAAATATACCTGACAACTTATAGCAAAGTCAGTTCCCCCTTGGCTGGGAAGCCACATGTATGTAACAAAGTCAGTCTGTAACAACATCAGTCTTACTATTGCAAGATGCTTACAGGATTTTTAGGAAGAGTCAGCAAAAGTATTTCAGACTTGCTTTTTTAAAGCAACAAACTCAAAGCCAGTTGCTTGAAAATCTTTTATACGCTATATTTTTCAGTAACTTCCATTATGTCCTGATGTCGTATTATAAACTGCCAACAAATCCTTCAGGTTATGTAAATAAGTGTAACTCTGGAGAATGACTCTGCAAAGTATGAGTTACAGCAGCTGTAAACATGGTCCCGAAACATTATCTTATATGATACAGGATCTTTTAGAAAAATACCAGGGGCACTTCTAGAAGCAACCTTCCTGCCAGATACCCATAAGACTCCAAGGCAGAGACCTTGGACCAGGTCCAAAAATGATTCAGGCAGAATTTAAACACTAGTGTAAAATCACAGCATACAAGATACGTGACTTCATGCTCTGCTGCCATATAAACAGAGAGGTACCTCTGTCATTTACACAGAAAATTCCCAAATCCCTTGGGTTCTACTCTGTCCGTTTTAAAAAAAATATACATCCGATCCTGCTCCAATTCCCTGCTCTGCCCAAGAGGATGCTGCTCCTGTCAGACAGAATCCTAACACAAACTGTTCTGGGCACCGCAGTACCCACCCCTCCTGCTGCAGCTATGGTATAATGTTAGTTTATCTGTAATGAAGCTGCCCTACAGTCCTAAAATACAAACCAGAAAGTTTTTAGAAGTTGATGAGCAAAGAGCATATAATAGTTCGAGATTTTGCACCTTGTCTCCTAAAATACACAGTGCTATATTGCTTATATGTATAGTTCTAAAGCAAGTAAGTCACCCACATACTGGGCTGCTCTCCCCCCATTCTTCCATACCAGTTCAATTTGATGTATCTGATCAAACAGGCCTTGCCAGTTGCAGTCTCTTATGAAGCAAATGCAACCCTGGTGTAAAATGTCACCGAGCAAGGGCAAATGAGCACATAATTCATACTCATCGGACAAAAAAAATCCACAGAAGAGACTCAGGGCTTTTGCATTTCAAGACTGGTTACACACACTTTCACCTTTTAACTCATTGTTCTCAGTGATTAGTTCTTTCATCTGTTGTACCATCTCTTCTGGGGTGTAGGTACTAAGGGCAGGGGCAGCCATGCTGTCCGTTCCATTTTC